GACTCAGAACAATAAGAACAGTCGAAAATCCCTGAAGTTTCATTCAAAACTTTACTATTATCCAGCTCAAACTGCAATCCCTGAAAAGCCAACCACGTTACATAAGATATAATAAATGCACCATTAAAAAAAAAACTAGTTAAAATTCACAGTATTCGGTCCATTTATATAACCAGAGTGCATTCTATTTTATAGGGTAATAATAAAGACAGATACATTTTGTATAACTTGACATTAATCAAACCCTATTCTTTCTTACGAGGAGGTCAGTATTTTACATTGAAAAAATACTACAGATGATCAGTTATACGGTATGCTATTTCTGGAGGGGTCACAATGTTTACTTTTGGCAAGAAACATAATAAAACATCTTGACTCAAAGGTAGGCAACTAATAGTTCTCCATATTCTTCTCCCATCAGCTGTAGCTTATATTTTTCTGGAGGCAGTAAATTCCTCGTTCATATCTTATAGGCTAATAAGTTCTAAACATTGTCCAACTAGAATTCATCAGATACAGTACAATTCTTAATTGGTGCATAGACTGTAGCACAGTAACTGAAATTATTAGTTTGTGCTTCTTACATTTTGTGGGAGGTTCACTTGGTTGCGGATCTTAATGAGTCCAATATAAGATAATTATCATTAACTAATGATAATTAATGCAGATGACAGACTCAATAATTCATTATTGAGTCTGTCATCTGCACCTCTATAACTGTCTGGTTTGGTTCTGCAACCCAACAAGACAGACACAGACTTCAGAGGATAATTAGAACTGCAGAAAAAACAGTGGCTACCAACCTGCCTTCCATTGAGGACCTGTATACTGCACGAGTCAAAAAGAAGGCTGTGAAAATATTTACAGACCCCTCGCATCCTGGACATAAACTGTTTCAACTCCTACCCTCAAAACGACGCTATAGGGCATTGCACACCAGAACAACTAGACACAAGAACAGTTTTTCCCCGAACGCCATCACTCTGCTAAACAAATAATTCCCTCAACACTGTCAAACTATTCATTAAGTCTGCATTACTATTACTATTAATCTTTCCATCGTTCCTATCACCCATCTCCCCCCACTTATGACTGTAACTTGTTGCTGTATCCTTACAATTTATATTTATAATACAGGATAGGAAGGTACCCGCATAGGACCCGGGTACCTTCGAGACCGACTTCTGCCACCAATAGCCTCCCACCGACCAGTCCGCTCCCACAGAGAGGGTCTCCTCAGGGTGCCATCGGCCAAGTTATGTCGGCTGGCGACACCCAGGGGGAGGGCCTTCTCTGTGGGAGCCCCAGCCCTGTGGAATGAACTGCCCCCGGAAATACGTAAGATCTCCGACCTCCGGGTGTTTCGCTGCGCTCTGAAGACCCTGTTGTTCCGCCAGGCCGGGCTATTAACATAACGTTTTAAATTGGGGTATTTTTAAATTCCTGGGATTTTAATTGGAGCCTAATTATTTAATGATTTTAAATTTTAACTGTTGTTTTTGTTTTTGTGTTTTTAAATAGGCTGTACACCGCCCTGAGTCCTTCGGGAGAAGGGCGGTATAGAAATAGAAATAATAAATAAATAAATAATAATAATATTGATTGTTTCCTAGTATGATTTGATTGCTTATTTGTACCCTATGACTATCATTAAGTGTTGTACCTTATTATTCTTAACAAATGTATCTTCTCTTTTTATGTACACTGAGAGCATATGCACCAAAGACAAATTCCTTGTGTGTCCAATCACACTTGGCCAATAACGAATTCTAATCTAATCTAAAGAATTCTAATGAGCAATAGTGGCTAACCTAGTTCACATGATCGATAGGAGAACAAAAAGAACCATTCAAGATGTTGATTGTCACCTTCAAGGTGTTGATTGTCACCTACGTGGCTCAGGATCATGTTATTTGAAGTACAGTTGTTCCCATCTATCTGACCCATCAGAGTGGGGAGGCACTATGGGTCGCTTCTTCTAAGCAGGCCCATCTAGCAGGATGGAGAAGAAGGGCCTTCTCCGTGGTGGCTCCCACCCTGCGGAACATCATCTCTATGGATATAAGCCTGGTCCCCACTTTGACACTCTTTTGCAAGGCCCTGAAGACCTGGTTTTGCGCCAACAGGCCTGGGACCCCATAGTGGGATGGAGGCCATCAAATGGCTCATTTGATTGTGGTCACCAGGAGGAGGGTGGGATTATTGCTTTTTTATTGTTTTGATAATCGGTTTTTATTCTTGTTAGCCACCTGGAATCTCTCAGAGTGAATATATCCTGTATTATGTACCTTGAGGAAAAGTGAAATTCAGGTGGTAATGAATAAATAAAAGCCTACCTAAGTGTGTGCCAAAATTACTGAAGAAGTCTTGAGGAACTCAAGATGCTCTTTACGATTAACATTAAAAAAGCGTACAAGGCCTCACAAGGTTGCTTAGTAGAATTGAGGCTTTTTCAGAACTGCCAGTAGCCATCTAAGAAAGTAAAGGTAAAGGTAAAGGAAAAGGTTCCCCTCGCACATATGTGCTAGTCGTTCCTGACTCTAGGGGATGGTGCTCATCTCCATTTCAAAGCCGAAGAGCCAGTGCTGTCCAAAAACATCTCTGTGGTCATGTGGCCGACATGACTAAACACCAAAGGCGCACGAAACGCTGTTACCTTCCCACCAAAGGTGGTCCCTATTTTTCTACTTGCATTTTTTACGTGTTTTCGAACTGCTAGGTTGGCAGAAGCTGTGACAAGTAACAGGAGCTCACTGTTACGCGGCACTAGGGATTCGAACCACTGAACTGCCGACCTTTCGATTGACAAGTTCAGCGTCTTAGCCACTGAGCCATCTAGGAGCCATGTAGTAAATATCTTATCATGCTCTGAAAACAGCTATGAAAAGTAAGATCAAGGAAATGGTGACTCACTGTGGGGAGCTCTCAAACATGAAAGATTAGAAGACTGCTACCCCAAGGAGTTGGGGAGAGGGATTCAAAAGCAAGAATGGAAAGACCTATAGCTGGTGGTTAGGAAGCTATCATGGCTGAAAGTGTTAAAAGACATTGAAAGTGAAATAAAGTGTTAAAAGACATTGACTAAAAACAGGTCCCAGGTTTTGCATTGGCCATATTCATTGCTTTTTTTCTTTGTTTCCATTTGTAGACAATCATTCATAAACAGTAAGTAGGCATTAACGTTGCAGAAAATTGTTTATATCATGTAGACATTCTAAAAACAGTTAACACTGTCAACCCTGAAGCTGATCTGACTGAAGCCATCCTGGAGCTTCAGTGTTGACATACACCTAGACTGAAACATTAGCCTGCAAACAACTCTGTATATACACAAACAACTCTGTATATACAGAATAACAGAGTTGGTTGGAAGGGACCTTGGAGGTCCCCAAGCACATCACCTTATACCAGTGAGGGTTAACCTTTTTGGTACCGAGTACCCAAAGCGTGTGTGTGAATGCATGCGTGCATATGCATGTGCGCGTGCCCGGACCCCCAAAATGTGAGCGCCCCCTGCACATGCGACACACCCCCACGCATGCGTACATGTCCCCCGCACATGAACCCTGCCCCCCCGCCCCGTTTTGGCTTCCAGGTTGGTGCAGGAGGCTTTCCAGGCCCAAAACGGGACGCATGCGTGGCAGAGACCCAAAGAGCAGCTGGCTGGTGGGAGGTGCGGTGGAGCTGGCCTGGGGCGAGGGCTGGTGTGCCCTCGCCCCAGCGGTTCCATGTGCCATTTTGGGCCATAGGTTCGCCATCTCGGCCTTATACCAATCCAGACAAATGGCTGTCCAGTCTCTTCTAATATGAAGATGTTTCATGCCATGGATCTTCCAGCTAATACAGATATCCCAACTCTTACGCATATACAACTGTCAGGACAAAAATACCCCACTCACCATGCAAAGGTGAATGGGGTGAGGTCAGGACCACAACTGGAAGAAATGCCCATCCTTTGTATATGTTTAGGGCTGTGATGGCGAACCTATGGCACGCGTGCCACAGGTGGCACGCAGAGCCATATTAGTGGGCAGGCCAGCTCAGCTCTGGGGTGCATGCGCGCGCCGGCCAGCTGATTTTCGGGCCTTCTGGGCCCACCAGAAGTAGGGAAACAGGCTGTTTCCTGCCTCTGGAGGGCCTGGGGGCAGGGTGGGGAAGGCCCATTTTTCTTTCTTACCTGGCTCCAGATCCTCTCTGTGTATCTGGGAAGGGCGAAAACAGCCTTTCCCACTCCCTTAGAGGCCCTACGGAGGCTGAAAGGGCCCATTTCCCAACTCCCAGTGGGACAGGAGGTAACTTTTTTTCTGTCCCCAGCCTCCAGAGACTCCTAGAGAGGCTCCTAGAGAGGTTCTGGAGGCTGGGGACAGCAAAAAAATGTCACTTCCTGTCCCACCGAGAGTTGGGAAATGGGTCCTTTCAGGCTCCGTAGGGCCTCCAAGGGAGTGGGAAAGGCTGTTTTCGCCCTTCCCAGATACACAAGAGAGGATCTGGAACCAGGTAAGAAAGAAAAACGGGCCTACCAGGCCATCATGTGCCAGGAGCGGGGGGAGGGGAGGGGGAGGGGTTGCACACCATGCGCGTGGGCACGTGCGCGCACGACCCTCCCCCGCCCCCCTTTCCTGGAACGTGATGGCAAAAAGGTTAGCCATCACTGGTTTAGGGCATACATGAATGAATGAAATGTATAGTTATATGCAAACATTTAGGGTACCTATGACCAAATTGTCTGTTTCAATTAATATTTTAATGCACCTCTCTTTACAGAGTGAAAGCAGATACACCTCAATCAGGAATTTAAGAAGGTTAAATATCCATCATATTTTTACAAAAGAAAGCCATGCGATTACTTTAAAGCCATTCCAAATTAAGTTGTAGGAGTGGTGCATCCATGATTCAAGAATTAACCACTTTAATTCTTTAATACCAAACTAAAAGTCCTGAGAATTCAAGCACATGCAGGGGGCTGTTGATGAAGACAAAGAGGGAAAAGTTGGCACTACCTTTTCTGCCAGCCAACCCAAGTGCCTAATTTCTCGGCCTCCGGCTATTCCTGCTTTACCCAGTTGATCTTTGACCTCTGAGATGACTTTGGGAATGAGCTCGCTGATACAGGAGTGGATGGCATAGAACCAGGCCTGGGCAGTGCTCGCATCTTTACTCCTTAGCACCAAGATGTGCTTGGCATCCGGTGAATGAACTTCAACAATCCTGTAGAAGAAAAATAAATAAATAAATACAATAAATAAGAAAAGAGGGGAGAGTTATAGGTATTCTCAAAGTTCCAGCCCGATTACCTGATTTGTAGGTGTAGAAGTGTGAAAAACCACTGTGCCAGGGATGGGGCACCTTTAGACTATTGAGTCATGACCAAACCAACATAGCTAGCCAAATAGAGGTCCTGTCAGGCAGGAATAGCAATAGCACTTAGACTTATATACCGCTTCATGTACTGCACTCGCTAAGCGGTTTTTTTTATTTATTATTATTATTATTATTATTCATATTTCTATGCCGATCTCTCTCCGAGGACTCTGGGCAGCTTACACCATAGACACCATACTAAATAGCATCTTGCTCCCAACAATCTGGGTCCTCATTTTACCCACCTCGGAAGGATGGAAGGCTGAGTCAACCTTGAGCTGGTGAGATTTGATCTGCTGATCTGCTGAACTAGCAGTCAGCTGAAGTAGCTGCAGTAGTGCACTCTAATCACTGCGCCACCTCGGCTCTTTTACAGAGTTTACAGAGTCAGCATATTATCCCCCAAAAATCTGGGTCCTCATTTTACCAACTTCGGAAGGATGGAAGGCTGAGTCAACCTTGAGCCCCGTCAAGATCGAACTCTGGGCTGTTGGCAGAGTTAGTCTGCAATACTGCACTATAACCACTGCACCACCAGAGCTCCCTATAAGGTCTTCAAGGAAGACCTATAAACTTGGTATTCCACCGCAGCTTTTCTTTTTCCTTGAAGACATTTCGCTTCTCATCCAAGAAGCTTCTTCAGTTCTGGAACTGTAGAAATGAAGAAGCTGCTTGGATGAGAAGCGAAATGTCTTCAAAGGAAAGAAAAACAAAAACAAAGTCCTTGGCCTTTTGAAGAAGAACCTTTAGGCCACCCCTTCCATCACTTCCAAGAAGAGAGCTAAGGCTATTGTCTTCCCTACATAGGAAAAGACAGCTTTGTCCAATGGCAGAAGACATTTACTCAGTGGTAAAATGTAAAATTTGTTACTACCGGTTCTGTGGGCATGGCTTGGTGGGGGAGGGGTTAATGTGAGGTTGTAAAAAATGATTTTAAAAGCCTCTGACGATCAGGCAACTGAGCTGGGATCGTCAGAAGCTTCTAAAAGCATTTTTTTTCTACAACCTCTTTGGCCAAAGAGGTTGCAGAAAAAAAATGCTTTTAAAAGCCTCTGATGATCCCAGCTGAGCCGCAGGATCATCAGTGGCTTTTTTTTTTTTTTACTTTTAAAAGCATTTTTTCGGCCAAAGAGGTTATAGAAAAAAATGTTTTTAAAAGTAAAAAAAAATAGCTTCTGATGATCGTGCGGCTCAGCTGGGCATGGAGGGGGGGGGCGGGGCGCAGGGATTTTTGCTACCGGTTTTCCGAACCACCCGCCGCCATCGCTACCGGATTGGGCGATCTGGTCCAAACCGGGAGCATTTCATCCCTGCATTTACTGGAAGAAGATATATTCTTTTGGAAGCCAAACATGAGGAATGACAGCTTGCTCTGTTCTGTCTCCACGGAGCAGAAACATCAGGTGGCAGGTTCAAGTGACATCACAGGATTAGGTCAGCGATGCTCAATCTTTTGATGTCATTCAGCCTGCCGGATCAAGTTCACAAATGGCCCTGCAATGTCACCACCCATTCACCTAACTCAGCTTAAAGTATCTGAAAGAATTGAACAGTTCAGCAGAGGGAGAACTGTTGCCACAATGTTAGAATAGACTAGAATAACAGAGTTGGAAGGGACCTTGGAGGTCTTCTAGTCCAACCCCCTGCTTAGGCAGGAAACCCTACACCACTTCAGACAAATGGTTATCCAACATCTTCTTAAAAACTTCAGTGTTGGAGCATTCGCAACTTCTGGAGGCAAGTTGTTCCACTGATTAATTGTTCCAACTGTCAGGAAATTTCTCCTTAGTTCTAAATTGCTTCTCTCCTTGATTAGTTTCCACCCATTGCTTCTTGTCCTGCCTTCAGGTGCTTTGGAGAATAGCTTGACTCCCTCTTCTTTCTGGCAGCCCCTGAGATATTGGAACACTGCTATCATGTCTCCCCTCGTCCTTCTCTTCATCAAACTAGACATACCCAGTTCCTGTTGAATTTATATTTACCAGCAAAGAAATAAAGGGAGACTAGTATAGATCTAGTTCAAGCTATTTAGCTCTCGTCAACTAGCCTTTTAGCGCAGTTTATCCCTTTATTTCTTTGTCGGTAAATATGAATTCAACACAAAAATAATTTGTCACGAAAACTGTTCTGTTCTGAGAACAATGTATGAGAGCGGAGGCAAGGCGAATTAATAATAACTTTTACTATCAACAACAGCTAACATCAGACCCACTCAATGCTGAGGACCTTGGAGAGCAGGGCAGCTTCTGAGGCACTGACAGTTCTTAAATATGCAGAGCTGTCAGCGGCTGGGCCAATCAGGACGCACCCATTTCCCGCCGGCTGGTAGCCGACGATCGGGCCAATTGGCTGCTCCGTCCTTGTCATGTGTGCGGCCTCTGGATGCAACAAAAACGACCCCCTGCGAAGGCCCCTGGATTGGAGCTGAAAGGCGAAAGCGGAAGCAGTATGCTCTGCCCCGTATTTCGGTGGACCAGGTTGCCCTGATAGTCTGGACTCACCGGGAAAAAAGCAACAACGCTTGTTACCACAATAGTGGCGTGTGTATCTCAGTTTCATAATTCCTCCTAACACCACTGGTTAAAGAGGAGCAAAGAGCTGTGGGCGGACGTGTCTTTTTCGATACAAATTGCTAGTTATAGAAAAGAAAACTGGCCCACGACTTACAACACTTTGGTTAGTGACCGTTCAAAGCAGTGGTGAAATTCAAATTTTTAAAATCCCCATTTCCTCCCCACTCCTGGGGGAAGGATATTGCAAAATCTCCATTCCCACCCCACTCTGGGACCAGCCAGAGGTGGTATTTGCCAGTTCTCCGAACTACTCAAAATTTCCGCTGCTGGTTCTCCAGAACCTGCTGGATTTCACCCCTGGTTCAAAGTTACAACGGCACTGAAAAAAATGACTTATAACTGTTTTTCACACAATCATTGCAGAATCCCCATGGTCATGTGATCAACATTCAAACGCTTGGCAACTGGCATGTATTTATGACGGTTGCAGTGTTCCGGGGTCATGTGACCATCTTTTGCGGCCTTCTGGCAAGCAAAGTCAATGGGGAAGCTAGATTCACTTAACAACTGTGTAAGAAAGGTCTTAAAATTCACTTAATAGATTTCTCACTTAACAACAGAAATTTTGGGCTAAATTGTGGTCGTAAGTTGAGGACTACCTGAGGTGAACAGAACTTACTTTAAGAGTTTCCATAAGGGTAATCAGTATGATGTAGTGGTTAAGATAGTGGGCTAGGAGATGAGAGATCAAAATTCAAGTCTATCTTCATCTATGGAAATCCACTGGTTTCCTTTAGGATGGTCTCTTAGTCCAACCAACCTCACTGGTTTTTCTTGTGCGAATTAAATAAAGGATTATTCCCATATATGTCATCCTGAGCTCTTGGAGAAAAGTAAGAATATAAATCTATCAAATAATATCAGTCTGCTGCAGCAAACACTGCCAGTAAATTTAATCACACCTTAAAAATTACACTCTTATGTTGGCTTTGAATTTAGGGAACTGCCCTCTCAGCTTAACTTGAAAGGCAAAGGAGACACTGTAGTATAAAATACAACTTGTCACAATTCATCCATATTGGGTGTGGGGCAGGGGTGGGCTGCTGAGGGTTCGCAAGGGTTCGGGAGAACCTCTAGCTAAGAACCCCCAAATCCCACTCCTGGCTGGCCCCGCCCATCCCATCCCACCCCACCCCTCCCAGGAATCCCCACATGGCCCATTTTGGATGCAGATAAGTAAAAGGCAGCTGCAGAGGCTTGGGAAGGGTGAAAAACGGGCCTACTGGAAGTTCAGGAAGGCCGGAAACTGTCCCATTTCCGGCCTCCAGAGGGCCTCCAGAGCCTGGGGAGGTTGTTTTCGCCCTCCCGGAGCCTCAAGTAAAGCCTCCAGAGCCCGGGCAACTCCCCCCCCCCCCGCCATGGTGCAGGAGGCCGACTAGGCTACGCCCACTATTGCCAAGCCCACCCACCAACCGGGCAAAGAATCCCTTGCTAAAATTTTTGAAGCCCACTCCTGGTGTGGGGTGGGACCACAATTAACCCTTAGGTTCAAACTGGACAATTAGAAAGCGCAATGAGTGTTTGAGAAAACAATTTATTGGAAATCAAAGTATTCTCTAATAAAACATGATCAACAAATGTCTTTTTGACCAACAAAAATAGTACTCGTTAAATCTGTACCTTCCCATCTCTAAAAATGGATGGTGTCATTTTTCTAAAGTAAGAATTGAAAAGTCAACAAAAAAAATTACAGAGATGAATTTGCTCTGCTTTGCATTATTTTTGACAATTACCCTCATTGCAGTAACAGGGCATCTGTCAATGTGGCCATATCCTTCTAGTCTATTCTACTTGGCTTTCCAACATAAATGCCCCTGGGCACAGTTGATGATTCTTCGCCTACAGTGAGAATATGTCAAATGATACCAAAACACTATTTTAAATGACTTAAAAATTCAATCTACTCTTCTGTAAACCTCACTGGTTTTTCTCTCGGATCTGGCTTCTGAAACATGACATTATCTGTAATTTGGTGATAAAAGTTTTAAATTTCCCCTTGTCTGGAAATATTTAAGACAGTGCCACAGCTCTGTTCCTTCATACCCTCCACCACAGTTATGTAAACACTGCATAGAGAACATTTTTGATAAAGCCCATATTGGCCTAAAGGAACTGTGCATTTAAATAGATGTCTGCCATGATATATATACTGTCTTCTAACCATCAGATAACCATATAAACAAAAACTATCTTTTTTTTCTAAAGCCTCCATGGTCAATAAAAACATCTCAAAGTTCCTTATAAAATGACAATAAAACCCACAAGTTGGCAACC